GCGCTCGGAGCTTTGGGCTTTGGGGCTTGGGGCCTTAGTGTCGAGGTCCACGGCCGCGAGTATATCATGTCGCCGGGGGCCGTGTGCTCTTGCTAGCCCCGAGCGCAAGCAAGGAGCGCCCGCTCGCGAGCCCCATACACGCCCGCTCGTATGCCCCCTACGGGCCGGCATGTAGGACCCATGCGTGCCCCCTCGCAGCCCCTCGTGGATGTTGGGCGTGGAACCTCGCATGCCCACCGGCGGCTTCCTCGCGGACCCCCGCGCACCCGCTCGCGGACCCCTCCGGATGGCTCGCGGACCCCTACCGCCTCGCTCGTCGCCGTTTTCATGCCCCCGTGGGCCGGCTCAATGAGCCCCTACGCCCTCGCTCGCATGCCTCCCGGCGGCCGCGGGCCGACTCACGGAACCCCTACGTGCCCGCTCGTAGACCCCCTTCGGCCGGCACGCATGCCCCCCGGCGGCCGGCTCGCAAACCCCATGCTCGCCTCGTTCGTGCCCGCTCCCACGCCCCTCGCGAGCTAGCTCGCATGCCCCTTGCGTGCCGGCTCGCGGACCCCCTGCCGCCTCGCTCGCATGCCCCCGCGAGCTAGTTAGCGGACCCCCCACGGCCGGCTCGCAAACCCCCCGCCGCATCGCTCGTGCCCGCTCGCGGACCCCCGCGGGCCGGCTCGCAAACCCCCGTCGCATCACTCGCGCCCGCTCGCGGACCCCCTACGGGCCGGCTCACCGACCCCTTACGCACCCGCTCGCATGCCCCCGCGCGCCCGCTCGTAGACCCCATGCGGGCCGGCTTGAACGCCCCCCGCACGCTTGCTCGGAGACCCCCGCGGGCCGGCTCCCGTGCTCGCTTCGCGCCCGCTCGCGGACCCCATGCGGGCCGGCTTGCATGCCCCTCGCACGCTTGCTCGGAGACCCCCGCGGGCCGGCTCCCGTGCCCGCTTCGCGCCCGCTCGCAAACCCCTACGGGCCGGCTCATCGACACCCTACGCATCCGCTCGCATGCCCCCTGCGCTCCTCCTCGCAGCCCCCCGTGCACGATGGGCGTGCCGGCTCACGGGACTCCTGCATGCATTGGCTATCCCAATGCGCCAAATGAAGTTAGTAGCGAGCTTACGCCGTGCGGATAGCGCTGGTCATCGAGCTCGGTTTCGTCAAACTTTTGCTTTTCGGCTTGAAAATTCATCCCTTTCAAACAAAAACCTTCCCAATAATTCCAAAATGTTATTATTGTGCTCCCTCACATTTTTTGGATCGTTCGACTTATTTTTTTTCGATTTTTTATATTTTTAATGTTCAAAAAATAAAAAAGCATACTTTCGGTCCTTGAAAAATTCTGAAAATTTTCGAAAAAATAAATTGGATTTTTCCAAACTTATGTACGAAATTTCAGCTCAAAATTCAAAAAAAATGCTCTATATGGGGTAGGTGCTTGCTCGCCCATGGGCGCCGACCATGGGTCCTAGTGCATGAGCATCGTGGGTGGTGTCTTGGCTCTCGTTCTTGGTGGGCTTGCTAATGTGCCGGGCCGATGAATGTTTTCGTTCGTGGTGACCCCCTCCGGTCACTTTTTTCGACGACCCCTCCGGTGAACCTCGGATTTTTTCTATGTAGCCTTTTTGTGGGTTTTTTGTGTTTGTGCTTTTGCCAACTTGTGGGCCAGCGACTGTGGGTGTTTTATTTGCTTTTGGTAAACGCGCGGTTGGTTTTGTTGTTGCAATGGCAAGTTAAGAAGGTGGCTGAGTTAAAGTTGCGGGGATGTTGCGTCGGGCTTTTGGGAATTCCAACGAGAGATTTATACAAGCGCTTGCAGGCCATTAAGTTGTTTTGCTTGTGTGGACGCATGGGCTCCCCATGGAATCCTTGAGCCTTTGTCGTGATGATATCTCCACAGTCGAGGCCCGGCCATCGGATTTTCGAGCCGAGTGGCAAATGCGTGTGTGCAGGTGGCCGGCTCGATGCCCCGGTCGGACGTAGCGACGAGCTTGGGGATTCCAAGGAGAGCTTTACGCTAGTGCTTGCATAGCATCATGTTGCTCGTGCTTGTGCCGAAGCGTGCACTCTCCTCGCAATCCCTCACCCTTAGTCCCGATCGTTCCCCGACGACCGAGGCTCAGGCATCGGCATTTCACGCCGAGTGTCAAAGGTGGGTGCGCGAGTGGTCGCTCGAATGCCGGTCATGATGTAGCGATGGGCTTGGGGATTCCAACGATAGCTTTAGGCTAGTGCTTGCATGGCATTGAGTTGTTGTGCTTGCGCCAATGCGTGCGCTCTCCGTGCAATCCCCAAGGCCTTCGTTGCGATCGTATGCTCATGGCCAAGGCCTACGCATTGGCGTTTTGAGCCGAGTTACAAAGGTGGGCGCGCAGGTGGCTCCGTCCGACGCCTGCGGGGACGTAGCGACCGGCTCGGGGATTCCAACGAGAGCTTTACGCTAGCGCTTGCATGGCATTGAGTTGATGTGCTTGTGCCGACGCATGCACTCTCGCGCCATGCCCAAGGCCTTCGTCGTGACCGTAGCTCGACGCCCAAGGCTCGGGCATCGACGTTTCGAGCGGAGTGGCAAAGGTGGGCGCACGGGTGCCCGGTCCGATGCTCGGCCGACTGGGACGTAGCGACGCCTTATGAGAAAGCATTTGCCAAGGATGTTTTCATTAATCAAAAACGAAAGTTGGGGCCTCGAAGACGATCGGATTTCGTCCTAGTCTCAACC